TATTTCCCCTCTTTGGATAACTATCCCTAAGAGTTTCATTTTCTCCTTTTATGGACAAAAATCATATTCAGGACAAGAGCAAAACTGTTCTCAAAACTTAAGGAATTGTGGCAATATATACATTTCACATTTTCCCCCTGTATTTTAAGGAAGAGTCTCTGCATGTATTTGTGTATAATGGGCTTTTCAGACTACATTTATTTTGTGTAAGAAGATTAAAAATGTTCACCGTGTTCTTACTGTTCAGTATTTCATATTGTAAATGATCAGGAGAATACATTAGTTGTTAAGGTAATGTGCTCAAGTATCTTTGAGGTTTTAAGAAGGTATTACTGCTCCCAAAATAGCTTCATTTAGTCCTTTCCTCTGGTAGTATGAAACCAGTTTTTCTTGTGAACTGAACTGCTGCATCTGTGCAATACAATTCAAGCTCTGAGGAGAGTGCTTTAGGAAAATTGAGATTCTCTGTTATTTTTAAAATGGAGCATTAGTAATAAAATTAACCCCTCTTAAAATTAACCTTATTTAAAATTACTAGTAATAAAATTAACTTCATTTAAAATCACTGACTTAGATGTTTCCACAGTTAAGAACCACCAAAGGTCCTTTGTTGTATTGTTTTCCACAGGCCATTTCCATCTATCATCTAAAGAAAGGGCTGCAAGAAAAAACATGTAAGCGAAAGTAAAGTGGGAATAGCTGTCCTCACCACCCAAACGATTCCAACCTGTCCACCAATGGGGATTACCCTGAATTAATACGGACGCTTTTGTCCAAGTGCTACAAATCCACATCAAGAAGCTTAAGGAGAAAAGTGTCACTAAACTGAGAAGTCTAGCTTCAGCAAATTCAACTGAGGAACTCAAAAGTTTTACAACTCTCCTCCAGCAGGGCTGTTTCCTTTGGGCTGCACGATCTTCTCCACAGTGGATGCTCCAGCTTCAGTGAACACCCTTCTTGGTCTGTGTGCCCTTCAACATGGCCCTGCTTTCCATGTTCTAGACTGAGAAACTACTGAGGAAGGACCCTGAGTGGCCCAGATTAAGTCACACGCACAATCCGGAACCCATTACCTTGCCCAGGGGGATCAGGCACTATGTATGGCCAGGCCAGGAAGGTCTTTCGTTGGCAGGTTCAGGGAGAAGGAATAATCCTCAGACAAAAACAGCAAATGTTCAGCACAGCCCTCACGGGTGCTTCACGGGTATTAGTCATAACAGTAATGCTAGGGAAGGAAAGATATTGGGTTAAGCAAAACGAGGCACTGTATAAAGCCTGGGACTCATAAGGACTCCTAATTCATACCAGACACGTGTTCTGGGATGGACGTGAACTCACAGCAGATTCAATCCCATTTGCCCAATCTTTTAGGTCATGTAATACATGAAATTTCTCATTAAATGGCTAATTTATTCACTTTAATAACCACTTGACTGCCCCTGAAGTGTGTGATCAAAAAGTAAGGTGTTTGGACATTGAGTAATTATCTAGTATAGGATTAAAAATAATACAATACTCTCAGCTGGCTGTTTTCCATTTTGAAAATGAGTTAGTTATAATAAACAGCTACAGTGAGAACCAGAACCTATGTGGGACAATTATGTTAATAGGTCAAGCATGCTTCCATTTTAAGAAAACCTACCTCTTAAAATGTCAATCAGAATGTCATCCCTAGGATATCAGAATGTTTTGCCAAAGAGCGTTGAAATATCACTGTCCACCACTCTATTAAATGATGGGTTCTTCTTTTAAAACAAAATCTTGCCCTCACAAATACAAGAGGGCAGAATAAGAAGACAATGGAGTCCAAATGAGTGGACACAGTGATGTTCACAGAACAAGCACTATCATTGTGGTCCACTGAATAGTATTTTCTAAGTGCTAGGTCCATGGCAGTGGTAGTCACATAGGAATAGATTTGCCTCTGAGGGCATATTTGGCAATATACAGAGACCACTTTGATGGTCAGAACTGGAAAATTGGTACTACTGGCACCTAGCAGGTGAGGCCAGGGATGCTGCTAAACATTCTACAATGCCCGTGACAACCTCCACAATGAAGAAAGAACTGACCCAAAATGTCAATAGTGCTGAAATTAAGTAACTCTGGTCTCCAGCAAGGGGCAGGCAAAGGCAATATTTAAGACACAACTCCTGCCCCTGATAAAGGCATATCTAATTAGAGGGTAAGATAATGAGCTCACTGTATAATATATAAGTGCTAATAACAAGTCCTTCGCCAAGTGTGCCTTGAATGGTATCATGTGCTCTAGAAGGAAAAGCTACTGCTGGGTTCTCCATCAGAGCACCCTTCATGTTAGTAGCAAGGTGAATGTAGAGATTTGAAAGATTTGGACAAGCAACCAGAAAAGAATTTTTCGTGTAGAAGGAGGCAGAAATCCAGGGAGGAGGAAGAGCAGTGTCTTTTTTTTTAGTAACCAGACTGGCTACAGCAGGTGTGTGTGGGGAGCAAGTCTTAAGAAAAACATGCTTTCACCTGTCACTGGGATAATGTGGCCAGTAGAGTCATGGCTTTGCCTAGTGTTAGCTGGGCTGACACCGGTGTGCAAGGTGTAAAATTAGGATATCCCTTACCTAACAGTTATTGCTGCAAAAAGCAGGTACTGCTACATAGCAGAGTTCAAAGGGTGGCAGCTCCTAGAACAAATATTAAGAGACAGGTTGAGATATATTCCTAGGAGTATATCCCAAGAAATCAGAAACATCAGAAAGGACATATGCACCCCTATGTTCATAGCAACACAATTTACAATAGCTAAGATTTGGAAACAGCCTAAGTGCCCATCAGCAGGTGAGTAGATTAAAAAACTGTGGTACATCTACACAATGGAATACTACGCTGCTTAAAAAAAGCATAAGCGATGGATGCAGACAACAGGGGGTTAGGGTGAGGGCAAGACAGGGGTATGAGGGGACAATGGGGGGATAAAGACACATATGTAATACCTTAATCAATAAAAAATTGAAAAAAAATAAATTAAAAAAATAAAAACTGATAGCTAAATAAAAATAAAAGAATTTAAAAAATAAAAAACTGGTACATTTACACAATGGAATACAATGCTGCTGTAAAAAAGAAAGAACTCTTACCGTTCACAGCATGAATCTCTTGAAAACTAGGCAGATACGTCAACCTTCAGCTTTCTTTTCTATAGGCACAACTGGATAGAGCTGAGCAACTCTTGCTGCCTTTAACTGACTCCAGTTCACTACCCACTTGGATTTGTCTCATTTGTTTTATCCACCTGGCCCCTCTAGGTATTTGAGTTTGCAATTCCTGGTCTACTGGTACTATATCTGCTTTAATGACAATAACAATAAAAGCAGTAACAAAAAATAATAGCACACTGAGCACTTAGTTCCAGGCCGTTCTAAGTAAGCCACAACTAACTCACTATTTGAGGAAGTTACTACTGTTATACCATTTTACATATTAAAGGACCTGCCCAAAAGTCAATAGCCAGCAAGTGGGATAGGTAAGATAACCCATACATAAATGTGCAGTTAGCCAAAAATATCCCAAATTAAACAGTAAGATTCTATATGAACCTTTTTCTAAAAATAAGCCCCTCCACTTCAGCCACAAAGACTTGCGCTTTTCTGCAGTGGATGCACACACACACACACATACACCCCTGTGCAATTCTGTGTACCTATGCGAAACTAAGGCAACTCGTTTCCTCTCTCCACAAGGCATGTGGTAGTGGTAGACTAGTCCTTACCTTTATCTGCAGAAAACATAAAATGCACAGAAAGGACTAATTGCAAGAAATGTATGTTCTGACTGGAGAGAGGCAAAGCATTCAAAGGTGTTTAAGATTTAAAAAGAAACAAGTGGGTGGGTATAAACGAAAGTTGTAGAGCATATCCAAGGCTGAGGGGACGCAAGGAGCAGGACAAGGAGAGCCAGGAAAACATTGGCAGTGTTGCAGGAAGGGTTTGGAGGTGTGTTAAGATGTGTCTGTTAAGCAAACAGAGGTTTCCCAGAGGTCACCCTGGGCTATCTTCTAAATCATCGCTGGCGTGAAAGTTGACTTGGCTGAAGAAACATTCAGTGGAATAAACAGAATGAGAGAATTTGAAAGATCAGAGAGTATCTGACTACCTTGGAAAAAGCAAGGATTAAGGGGGAAGAAGCATGTGGGTCCTAAAGATGTTGATGCATGAAAGCATGAAAGTACGAGGCAGTCATGAAATAGGAAAAAAATACTTGAGTCAAGATGGAAATGGCACAAAGTATTAAAGTCAAGAATGTGGCGCTTACAGGCGAGATTTCAGAGGTGGTAGGGACGGTGAAGTCACCGGAAAGGGGAGGACCATGGGAGCAGGTGGCTAGGGATATAGTAGACATAGAGAAACTTTAAAGGCAGGGAAGTCCAGAAGCTGAAAAATGATGAGGAATGTATGCAAAATATTTAGAACTCAGCTAATCTTTTAGAAATGCCAATCCTAAAAGTAAAACTTGGAAATACAGGCAACATATTTGTTGTCTGCATATTAGAAGGATTCAGGTGAAATACTGCCTGACTGGCAGGCAGTGCACACAAACACATCGTATTGAATGCTGCAGAAACACGGCACAAAGGCAGACGGCAGTTCTGCACCCTACCTCCCTTCACCATGCCCATAGAAGTTACTTCTGCTTGAAGGTAGTTAGGGGTCTTGTTAACTACTTTTGTTAAAAGTAAATAAAACAGTGAGGAGCAAAAAGATCCAAATAAGTAGAATAGGGGGGCAAAAGGATTGGAGGAGGAGAAGATATTTCTTTATTTACATGGACTTTATTTTTACTTATACTCAAGCTTTTAAACAACAAAAATAGAAAACATTTTGAATCAGAGTATGCCTGAAAGCCAAACATTAAGATGGTGGCCCCACTATTTTTGAGCCCAGACGTGGGTTAAAATGGATTTTATGAACTTTTAAAGGAAATAGTCACAAGTAATCTACTTAGTAAGTAGGGTTAAATGTCAACAAATCTAAAATTTCAGAGGCGATATTTTATTTCAAAAGTAATAAATAATATGGTCACATAATAAATGGTGAATAACGATGGAAACTCTTAAAATTCTTACAAAAACTTGTAATTATTTCACAATTAGCTGTTCACATTTCTTATGACTTCATGTTTTCCAATGACGTACTAATGCAGATTAAAAATTAAAAACCTTAATTCACCAATAGTGACATAACTTCAAGGCTGAGAAAAAGCACTAGTCACAAAGAATTTCCAGTAAACATTAATCTAGCAATCCAAAAAGAGCTGTTATCAATGTGAGAAGTCCTAATTATAAATAATATAGCTGTGTATTTGTCTAAAGACCAATATAGACCTAACTTCAGCAAAAACACTTGTGAAAAAAATTATATATACCTCTTTTGTTCAAGACACAATATAAAACTTGAAATAATTCCTCTATTTAATAAAAAAGGAGACTCCTCAAGAAGGTTCATAGCATCTCATTAACAATGCAAAAATGTTAAACTGAAATGGCTTATTTATTTTGGTCAGTAAAAATCATAACAGTTCTATGACAACTGGAAACATTATCAGAAAAAAATCTGTCAATGAAAAAAATCACTGATTCAGTAAGTATTTAATCATTTTATTAACAAAATATATGCCAGAAATACATTCCTCTCTGGTGAAACTTTTCAAATAATTTTATGTGGAGAGCCTTGACATGTATCAATTATATAAACCATATTAAAATGAAAACAGTTTTAAAATGTACAATACAAACCAGTACTTTGTACAATTCTCTATAAAGTTCAATAATCAATGTAAAAAATAATTTGTTTCAACTGAATATAAGGCATGTTCAGTTTCTGTAATTTTGTAGAATTACTTTTTTTGCTTTGTTGGAGACTTTTCTCTCCGCTGGTCCTGATTTTTCTTTGATTCTCTGGATTGTTCAGAGTGTCTGCTAGATTTTTCCCACCGCCTCTCAGCACCATTCTGATACCTATCTTCATCGCTTCTAGAGTCTGAATGTTTTCTATTCTTTTCTCTTGACTTTGATCTGTCTTTTCTTCTAAATTTTTCACTGTCCTTATTTCGGTATCTATGCTCATTTTCAGAAAAAGAATTTCTTCTCTCTCCTCTCCTCTTTTTCAGATCACCATACTCATTTTCCAAATCTAGATGCATTTCTTGGTCTCTATCATTGATGACTCTACTGTAACTATTTCGTTCAGAAGGAACACCTCTGTCTGAAGTGTATTTTGTTACAGGATCTCTCCAATTTGGATCCCTTGAATTTTTATCTCTGAGTTTTTCTGATCTCCTTTCTCTTTCAGTCCTTGTTTCTTGGTGCCTTTGCTCTGATCTTCTTTCTTCTTGCTTCCTATCATTTATTTGTTGTTTCCTGATCAGTTTATCTACTTCTCTGCTTCTGGTGTTCCCTTGTCCCTTCTTTCTTATAGCTTTAGCTGCACATGTAAAATGAAATATAGTTAGTTTAACTTTAATCTTAATTTCACGATTTGACAATCACATTCATTAATATAATGTAGGTTTACTAATTCAGATAAACTGGATTCAAAGCTAAATTTATTGAATGAAAAGCCTAATGACAGAACATTTCACAAAATATTTGAGAGTATACAATATGTCAGCATTAGTTACTGAAGTACTGTTTTGATCGTTAGACTCAAAATAGTGAACAGGAACTTTAATTACAGCAAATACTGTAAAATCTTTTATGAAGCAACTAAAATAAAACATTTCCACTTACAAATTTTATTCGAAAACAGAAATTCCAGTCCATGTGAGTTATTGATACAAAATATTATATCAGATTTGGTACATAATCAAAATACTAATGATTGATCACACACACCAGCAACAATCACTTCCTAAGTGAGAGGAAGTGGGATGACTGGGTTGGCCTAACAGCATAAACATATGTATTTCAAATAAACTTCTTCCTATAAAAACAAGTTTTGCTCTTTAGTGCTATTAGAGAAGCACCAGCTGTACTAGTAGGAGAAGCCAGGGTAATATATACAATCACAGGCTTCATATGAGCCACTATGGGTTGATTTCAAAAAAAGCCTTGAACATCTTATTTTACTGATGTCATCACAAATATAAATGTTAAGTAATTACAATAAAATAACTTACCATTTTACGCTATAAAACAAATTTAACTGCTTTATCTGTGATACTTAGTTTGGGTACATAAATCAAAGATGCTGAGATGACCAAAATTTCTGTTGCATTCGTATGTGTACAGAAAGAAGAAAACAGGGTGGAAGATCATCTACCCTCATCCTACTCCACCTAAATCTCTGTACCAACCTGTATTTCCTCGGCCAAATGCCTACCCTTGACAGTCAGTCGGTTTGCCACTAAGGATTTATTTCTCTGGTTCCTATCAAACAACTCAGCTGAGCTGCAGAGCTACCCAAGCAGAAACCATCTGGCTCTGTGCGAAATCATGTCCCTCTGACCCTACTCTGACACTGCTCTCACTGCTTTGTTGACATTCAAACCTGTGCCATATAATAATGTGCAATTTCTTCTCTCTTTGGTGTCTGCTTTACAATTTTCCAAATTGGGGGCAGTTCATGTTGCTTTTATGCTATATCATATTTTATTAATAAAACTGGAAGCTCTCTACTGAAATTGTAGGATGAGGCAAATTAATTTTGAATCAGCAAGCTTCCTTATTGCAGAAATCCATGCTGTGTTATCATCTGTTCTCAAAACAGATATCATGAAATAACAAATTCTTTAGAATTAAAAGAGGTGAATGTTAAATGAACAATGTTAGCATATTTCAATTCAAGAAGACTTCCTGTGAGCAAATGGAATCTTGCTCTAATAATATAAAACACTGAGAGTCCCACAGTTCTTGCTGCCATATAATATGTAAAATACTTTGAAGTGTAATAAGCCAGGGAATGAGAAAAAAAGACCAAACTTCCAACCTTCTAAGGCTATAGGGAAAAGTGCTCCCTCTCTGAAACAGAGATGAAAATACTATATGAGAGAAGAAAGCAGAGCTGACCCTGCAGAAAACAACACAGAACTTTTCAGAAAATAGCACATTTGAAAAAATCCTTTACTATAGCACTTTCAGTTCCAAGTAGAATGAAGAAGGCTGTAGACCAGTTGAAGAACAACTACAAATGCTGGATATAAATTTAAAATCTCTGCTTAAAGGAGGTAAAGATCTTGAACTTGAGATGCTATAAAGGAAGGCAGTGCCCTTAAGAAAAGGGATAGGGGTATGTCCAAGGAACACAGGAGTCAACTTGAAGGAACTCCTAATTGCCAAGGCTGAAATGATTTTAACAGCAAATAAAATACAGTATTGGATTTTAACCCACAGAAAAAAATAAACATCCATGAGTCCACAGTGATAAAATATAAAGTAAAATTATTAAGTAAATAGGGGAAAGGGACAACTCTTTCTTACAGAAGAAATTCAACTATTAAATGTAGAAAAGAGACAAGTAGAAAAATCATCATTTGGCAAACACCAAGTTCTTTACTTAAAAGCAGTATTAAGTGTTCCAGACAAAATCCAAAGATGGATGCTAAAAATGGAGAGTGAAAGTTAGAGATTTGCGTAGCATCAAATTATCTCCCTGCATATCTAATTTATAGAGAAAAATCTTTCCATTTCCATGAAGAAATTCAACAGACATCACCTTAACCAAGTCATCAAAGTCAATGTCACCAACAAGATACACCAATATTATAAATTCCTCAATGAGATGCACTAAGAGCACATAATTTCTATGGTATTCTAGCCAAAAACGCACATTCTCTTTATATAGCTGTACACTTATGAGATACGCACTAAATGTGTGATACATGTCAATAACTACCATCAAGTGTCACTATTAAAAAAATTAAAATTTCTTAAAACATAAACAGCAGGAAGGCTACTGTCAACTAGATTAGACATTATGAATGGTATTTCACTCACCATTCAAATAAATATTTACCAATGAAACATCTTCATTTCTATGAAAAGGCTTCCAAAGGTAATCTTAGCATTGTAAATGTTAAAATTTACTACAGACTGCAACAATGGTCGATGATCATTTATATTAACTGTGGCTTTTAAACAACTGAACTCTAAAATAAATATAAAATGCAATTATTTACTTCTCTCATTGTAAACATCACCAGCAATGTACTTGTTAGAAAAGAGCACGACGGGTGATGGGTTTCAATACCTGAGGCAGAGCTCTGACTGCTGGCGGATGAGGAGTCGCTGTCTTCGCTGGAAGACTCTGAGCTGCTGTCACTGCTGTCCGAACCAGAAGCAGAGGAGTCGGACTCTGCCGAGGAGGATGCGGAAGAGGAAGAGGAGGGGGAGGAATTATTTGGCTCGATTTCTGGTTTCTGTGTCACAATGACCTTTGGTGTATTTTTGAGATGCTCACGCAATTCATCCCTAATTAAAAATATAATGTTAGATTTTGCTTAGAAGGAAATTAGGAGATAATTTTGTAATTGAAAATAAAATTCTAAAAATAATCCTTACGTTAAACCTCCAAGACCTATAGAAGTAAAAAAGTTGATGGCAAAACGAGTGTTTCTGGGATTATCTCGGGGTAATAACCCTTCAAAGAATGGCTGTAGGGTTCTAAAAAAGAAAAGAAAAGAAAATGAACAAAAGAGAACAGATTGCTGAAAGATAAAGTTCTTTACTTGAAAGCAAAATTCTCATACAGTCACTTTTCAGAGTTTCTATGTATTAAATTAGTAAATAAAATACAGCCAAGTAAATGATTTATATAATTTATTAGGTTAGGCTACATGGTATCAAATGAAATGAGTAAGGACACTCATTAATTTACTAAACTTGATTTCTATAATTCTACAACAAAGGTTTAAAAAAACTTTTTCATATTTACACCAACACGGAGTAGATACATGTATGTAACATACAAACATATATCTATGTTCATATGTACATGTATATATGTGAATGTATATACAGAACAGTAAAAAAATTCTCCATATATATACATATACACACACACACACACACACACATACATACACACACACAGCACTGTGCAAGGCACTGGGGAAAGAGAAAAAGTATCAACAAAAGGGAGAAATCATGTTTATTCAATGACCTATTGATAACATATCCTTATTATTTCTAGGAAGGGGCACGAACAGAAAATATTAACAATATGTGGTTTTGAGTACCATAGTGAATGACTAACCAGCAGGGCAGGAAAAAGTGTTTCATAGAAAAAGGTGACAAATAAGAATGAGAGTTTGCTGGACAAAACAAGGGAGGAATTCCCTGCTCTGGAAATAGAGGTAACGAGGCGCGAATGAGCCAGACCTGCTTTACTCTCTGGGCAATGTTGATGTGGCTGGAGCACAGCGCACTGCAATGGGCTTCACTAGGTGAGCCTGGGAAAGGAGGCAGGGACTAAGAAATGAGTATACAAAGCCCAGGAAAATGGATGGAATAACACAGAGCATGCAGAACCAGGACAGACCTATGGTGTACACTGGAGAGGAAGGCTGAGGATAAGAGAGACTGAAAGGAGTAAGGTAGAATGGGAAGAAAATGAGGAGCCACAGTGAGCATGTGGTCAACTCTGTAAGTGAGGCTGAGGAGTCAAGGGACATGAAGACTGAGGAAGATGACTTGACTTGGCAAGCTGTCACTAGAGAATTGAAAGGACTGTGAATGGAGAAGCCAATGTGAGCAGCAATGGGCAACCTGCACAAATAGCAGATGAAGCTGGAATAGAGGTTACATAATAGTCCTGGGACAAGACCCTAGTACAGTGTAATGATACATTACATATTCATCTGTATATATTCACAATTGTCAATGATAATAAAAAAGTTAATTATCATTCTAAGGCTCAAAATTAGGGTGAGAACTCTAAATACTCATTACTGAAGAACTCCAATGAGCATACAAAAGTAATTTTCTGGGTTTTAACTAAATTAAAAGAGGCATTAATTCTGTGTTTTCTCTACTGAACTAAAAACCATCATTAAAAACTGCATGTTGTCCTTGGCCACACATGAGATTCAGAATGGTAAGTAATGAAAAGTCCTAGGGGCATAACTCTTGCTTTAGCAGCCCAGGGTTGACATGTCACTGAAGTGAAGGAAAGCCCCGGAGGACAGTAAGAATAAAAAGTGCTTAATGATAAACTTACTCATCCTTTAATCTTGCATTAAGTTTAGGAAGACCCATGTATTCACACAGTTCTTGGAAAAATATTTTAACAAAAATCCTACTGGAGGACGTAGTGGTTTCTTCACTCAGCTTTATACATTCAAGAACCTGAAAATTAAATGAAATAGACAATTTACTTTTGTTCAAGAGATTAACACAAAGTGACCAATATTCATACTCAAACTTTCTCTTGAAATGATAATTTAGTCTCATCTTCAATCAGAATTATCTCTGAATAATTTCTCTAGTGGCGATATGTACTATTTCCTGGCAAAGATTAAGACAATTTCTCTGTGCTAATTTTTAGAATGTTAAAATGCTACAGAAATAGAGTTCATTCTCTTTCTCGAGTACTGTGCTTTTTAGAGCAGGAATATATTGTCTTGAGTGTATAACGGTGCAGCAGAGATTACTAGCTCCTAAGCCTCATCAAAATGTGTGTATATGAGGTTTTGAGGCAAAATGCCACATAGAGCGTTAGGCTATAGTTTTGTACAGCACATGTAATATGCGACAAAAGTAAAGACAGGAAGAGTGATAGTCCATCCTGAATAGTAAGACTGAGGCTTAAAAATTGAAGCTCATGTTGATGTTTTACAACAAACAAAAATAAAAGCAACCTCCAGCTTGTTGAGTTATGTGTTCTAGGAGCCCTGGTGCTTCAATTGTAAAATTTTAATTTCATTTTCCCAAAGAGGGGAAAAATAAGTTTAAAAAAATTACGATTTGGCTCCTATGTTAGCTTACAAAATGCTACTAATGTAGCTGGATATACTTAGTACTTAAAATATTACAAAAATCTACCCAATGTTTATAAGCTCAATGATGTTGTTTCATTCTTCCATTAGATTCTGGTAGTCAATGTGATCCTCTTCTTTCTTTCCTCCAGGATGCAATTTCTTTCTATTGCTGGCTGAATGAACAGCAGTTATATAATAAATGCCAGCTTAATGAATGCATTTCAAATTGTAATCAAGCGTACATTGACTCATTAAGATACCTTTCCTTGTACTAACTATGGTTATAAGAATTCCTCCCTAATGCTTACCCAAATTCATTGTCTGCTAAAAAGAACATGTCTTATTAGGACAAACATTTCTCTCATGTCTCTCAGGAAACAAGCAGTAACTCAGCAATGCATGACTACCAAACCTGGGTGCATATTAACATCAGTGTGTACACATGTATGTGTACAAAGATAAAAATCTACTATCATTTCCATGAAAATACAGCCATCGCTATTAAAAAGCACCAACATGTCTAAACTTTTAATATCATCCAGAATGGTTACATGCACTTAGCTTTTTGATTCCATGTTATATGAACATAATCTCAAAGACAGCTATTATAATAAAAGTTTGCTACACATTTCATTTTAAAGTACATTTCCTACATAGGAAAAGTAAGGGTATATTATACTTAATACACATTTGAGAATAACAGGAAATTAGGAAGGAAGTATAAACACTGAGCTCCATCTACTTACACTCCATGGAAGTGAATCAGTGTATAGAAGATGAGCAAACATCTTAGCAACATTTCTCAATTTGTTTGTTTCCAAGCGATGGATGGTATCATACTGTTCTTTGAATATACTTTCAAAGGATTCCATGTACTCTTTCTTTAGCATGCAAAATCGCTATTAATTAAAAAAAAATTGAGAATCAATACCATTATGAGCATATTAAATTCTTCTAAATTTACTGAATCGAAAGTAAATATTTTGTACATCTTTTTGTGCTATTTGATGAGATGCTCAAATAAGAAATGGGGTGACGCTGGATCATAAAACCATATAGGTTTCAGCTGTACAATTCAATAAAACATCATTTGCACAGTGCCTTGTGTGCCTGTCGCACTAAGCAAAGTCTCTTTCCTTCTCCATTTTCCCCTCTTTTGCCCACCTCCACCTATCTCCACCCCTCTTTCCATTAAGACACTGTTGTCTTAAGAATAGCCTTAGTGATTCCATTAAATTCCAATAAGAAAAAGAAAGCTAGAACTCACTCCAGCTAATAAGCCGAAAAATTTCTCATATGTTCTTTGTTGAGCACAGCAATCCAGTATCATGTTGCAGAGTTCTTTCTATTTGGGAAACAAATAACAATAATGATTCAAAACACAACGAATTCATGTTGTATGAATATTTATCAATATAATAGAGACATCTAAAATTTTAAGTAAGATTTTTTTTAAAAAAAATTCTAAGACTGCAAATTTTAGTGATTAAGACAAAAAAATTAATCTATGCTAAGAGTAGTTTTTTTAAAGCCTTCAGTCTGGCAGACAGTTTCCATATGTCATTCATGCTAATTAGACTGATTATAAAATTCTAAATTTATGTAAGTGTGAATCACTTTAAGAGAACTTAGTATGTGCCCTCCTGGTGTGGCTCAGTGGTTGAGCATTGACCTATGAACTAGGAGATCATGCTGTGATTCTCAGTCAGGGCATATACTGGGAATTGAGTCCCAGTGTGGGGCATGTAGGAGGCAGCCAATCAATGATTCTCTCTCATAATTGATGTTTCTATCTCTCCTCCCTTGCTCTCTGAAATAAAAAATATATATATTTTTAAAAAGAGAACCTAGTATGTATATGAAACAGACATATCCAAAAAGATATTGAATAAACTGTATTCTAAAAAGATTCCATACAGAATTCTTTTAAATATAGGTCACCAATATAACATCTCACTAATACACCTAAAAATTAAGCTATACACCTTTCAAAGTTTTAAACTCCATTATTAGGAAATATATTTAGTTTAGTATGGAAAAAGCAGAACATTATGAGTCTTTACAGAAGCGTAAATTCAAAATTTACTTAAATAACGCACTGGTTAATAAAGAAAAATATATTTAAAAGAACAAAGAAAAAGATCTCTATGGCTGAATTTTCTAGCCTCAAAACAAATGTTTTACATACAGATCTATCTACAGCTTAATCTATACAAATAGATGGAATCATTTCGTAACTGCTGGAATAATATATTGTTTAATCAGCTATGTATATGCCTTGAAAATTCCTCTGTGAAAATTCTGTTAAGCTAGTAAGTCCAAGAATAAATCCAGGATCAAGAAATATCATTCTAAATTATTTATAATGAACAAATACTATTTATTAATTCCTGAAATAATCCTAATGAAATATGTATTGATTATAGCAATTTTATAGATGAAGACATTCAGGCAACAACGACAAATCAATGGAGACAAAATAAAAAAGGCATAAATTCATTTTCTGACCACTGCTATAGAACTGACTCATTTTTTTCAACAAAATACTTCTTATTGGAAAGTTTAAAATTATACTTTTCAAACACAGTAACTGCAATATATTTGCTTTCTATAAGTAGAAAGCAAGCTTATAAAATATAATGTATAACCTTTTCAGTTCATTTTTTTTACTTAATTTATCTTTATATTTTCAATGAGCAACTTTGACATTTTGTCATATTTAATAGCATGAGCTGCAACCTAAGTAGATATTGTAAACACTTTAAAAATTAGGTCAATATATACTTACTACATCTATTTATGTACAAGGGAGAGGAAGGGGACCCTGGAGAAGCACAGAATACACTCTAGATCAGCCGTGGGCAAACTACGGCCCGCGGGCCAGATCCCGCCCGTTTGAAATGAATAAAACTATTGAAAAAAAGAACGTACCCTTTTATGTAATGATGTTTACTTTGAATTTATATTAGTTCACACAAACACTCCATCCATGCTTTTGTTCCGGCCCTCCGGTCCAGTTTAAGGACCCCTTGTGGCCCTTGAGTCAAAAAGTTTGCCCACCCCTGCAGATTGTTCTGTCCAGGAGGGTAGCCTGAAGCCACATGCAGCTATTTAAGTTTAAATTACTCGATATTACATGAAGTTAACACTTTAGTTCTTTGGTCACACTAGCCACACTTAAAGTTTTCAAAAGCCATTTGTGAGTAGTGGATGCTCACTGGACACAGGAGAATATAAATATTTTCACCACTGCACAAAGTTCTTTGGGAGAAATCTGTTCTAGAAGTTGATAATCTATATATAAAATAAGCTACTCAAAGGCCTCACTTCACAATACAGAGTAATTTTTAGATATCTTTATACTGACATATTATTATTTTTTAAAAGATTAGTCACAAGTTACCTCAATTAAATAAATGTATGAGTTTTGAAAAGATGTACTTTGTCAAAATTTAGAATAGTACTAAAAACTGAAAGATGTTTTTCTGACTTCTGCCTTAGTGTGTTAATTTTATATATTAAAAGGCATTTTCGGCTTTACCAACACTGTATTTTACAATAACATAAGAGTTAATCAGGCTGTAAACACTGTAATATGGTAATGTGCTGATAGCATTGCTAATAAAGCCAGCACTAGTTATAAAACAAATTACTTTCTTCCCTAGACTAAATGCAATTACAAGAGTTATTCCCTGTGGCTTATAATAATTAAATATTTTAACATTTTAATTAAATATTATAGCAGTTTTAGGAGAGTCTTTTGAGTGCCTAAAAATAGATGCACTAAGACATTCATCCAAATGTTATCAAAATATATTGAGGTTAGTCCTAATATTATCCTCTGGATTAATATTAATAACATTTATAATGACTTAATTATATCCTCAAATAATGTGACAAGATCATACAGTAATTTCAGTTTCAAGTATAATTTTAAAGGTTAATTCACAAATTTATTTCTTTCCAATGACAACAATCAAGTGAACCTAGAGTATGAATAGGTACACTATTATTAATATACTAGAGGCCTGGTGCACAAAATTCATGCACTGGTAGGGTCCCTAGGTCTGGCCGGTGATCAGGGCTGATCGGGGCCATCCTTCCCCCAACTGCCGGCTGCCTGCTGGGGCCTTCCTTTGTTGTGTGCCGCCCCCTGGTGGTCAGTGCACTATGTAGCGAGCAGTTGAACTCCCAGTTGGTCAAACTCCGAGGGGACAATTTGCATATTAGCCTTTAATTATATAGGATTAGTAAACAAACTTTAAGAGGAAAAAATAATTTTTAATTTGAAAATAATAATTTATTCTCAAAATTCCATATTATGGCATTTCAAGAATAAATCTACATTTTAGAACAAAGTTTGGCAAAATTTTTCTGTAAAAGGTCAGATAGTAAATATTTTAGATTTTGGGGGCCATTCATTGGTCTCTGTTGTAACTAGTCAGTTCTACTGTTATAGGGCAAAAGAAGCCATACACAACCAAAGGACATGGCTGTATTCCAATAAAACTTTATAAAAATGGGCAATGGCCTGGGCCACAGTCTGCCAATCCCTGTCACAGATCATATTTAAAGCCTTAAGACATACTCTCTCTCTCCCATTTGTTTTTGGGAGGCAACCTAATTTTTGGAGGCCTTGCTTTGGCAAGGCTGAAAATAAAAAAAAGCCTTAAGACAAAGGACTTACAACTAACGGTAACTTAGCTCGGATAATTAAGATCTTTTAGAAGAACTAGAAACCAAACAGCCTGTTAGACTCTAGCATCTGTACTGGGTCTAGCACATGCAAAGCAAGGTGTGAAAAGCAAAACCGCAAAGCCTTGGTTCAGGTTCCAAGAATCCATCTGTAATACTGTCAACAATAAATGTATAAATAAAGTCTAGAGGGCCTGGGAGTAACATACACAAGAGCACAACTAGAAAAAAGCAGCCACGATAATCTATTTAGTCCAGTCTTTATTATCCTGAGCATTAGAGGTCTATGATACTTTGAACAGTGAGGTATGCTCAGTTATAAGACTATATAAATCTTAGGGGCTAAAGGGGGTCTAATATGTACTTTATAGATATTAAATACCTGACACTTTGCAGAGTGCCTGACAAAGTGTATATGCTGAATACAATTTGTTGAATGAATGAATGAAAAAACTGATATAGGTTTTCTATAATTAATGTAACAACATGTATACATTGATCTTTATAATTTCTATCTGAAAATGTTTTAGTACATAAAGCAGATAGAGCAGATATTTTATTAAAGAACAAATTTCCTATTGTATTTAAGCCATATTTTGATTTACAGTAATCACTTAGAAATTTATGTAAAGTGTAGTAACCTCCTCCCTTTCCCACATTGCATTCAAAGCAGCCAATTTAATTCACTAGGAGTAACATATATGAAACACACCAGGACTCCTAAGTTTCGAGTTATTTTAAATTTTTTGAGTTATTTTACATTTTGATTATAAGTTTTAGAAAAATCTAAATTTAAATAAAGACTTAGTACTAAGTTGTAATTTCAATTCATGAAATCTATTAATTGTCCTAAACATTTTTATAACCAATATATTTCCTAATTGGAAAAAAAATTAACTTACTGTTTGGCTTTCAGGAAATTCCATTTTCAGCAATTTGTGAGCACATTCTTCAAAATCTAAACTGCAGAGATAAAATGTTCACAACCGTTGAGTTAAAAACTTGCAGCGTAGTTAAATTGTAGTACTCTTATAAAGAAACTTAAACAGTTGTATTAAATACTTTTTATTATAATTTCATATTATATTATACATATAAAATGGATAAATCTTAAGTTATGCTAAGTGAAAAAGTCAAACATTCCATTTATATAAAATTCCGTTTATATGAAATCCATATACAAAGAAAAGTAGATTTAAATTTTTATTACACTGCTAAATTATTTCCACTTCTCTCTAATCCAAGTCAGGAAATGGTAGACGATGCTCCAGGAGCCCAGCATGACATCGAGTGCTTAATCACCATTGTTACAAGTGATCTTGATTCATACCCAAACATGGGGCTTCTACATTCATATGCTTCACCTACGACAGTGGTCGGCAAACTGCGGCTCATGAGCCATATGCGGCTCTTTGGCCCCTTCAGTGTGGCTCTTCCACAAAATACCATGTGCGGGTGTGCATGTACAGTGCAATTGAAACTTCGTGGCCCATGAGCAAAAGTCGGTATTTTGTGGAAGAGCC